CTTTCCTGGTGCAACCCCGTTCCTGGTGCAACCCCGTTCGATCTCTCGAAATTAGGTATATGATATTTTGTATTTGGATATGGCTTCAAATATCCCCCTTTGAAAAGAATACCGACATCTACTAAGTAGTACTTACCTGAGTAAGGTTTTCTTTCATTTAGAAATTTTAAAGTAATTAGGATGGTCAAAAGCTAAGCATGATTGTCATACCTGGTGGTGGATAAGAGAAATCATATTTTCTGTTGCTAGTAGCAAACTTGCGACTATCGTGTGCGCTACCTTCCCATCCAGCCATCACATATGTGAAACATATATTGAAATCACAAACAACCATTATATTTTGTGTTGGTGATCTGCATCGTCCAATCTATGCAACTTTCTCTATGCCAGAAAGACGTGCGTCGACATGTGTTCCGTCAATAGCTCCGATACAATCCTGGGATGAACGAATTAATCAATAATAAAATCATATGTGTGAAATTTTATTAACTAACATATAAATATGGGAAGCACCTTAAAAAACGACATATAACTTGGGTCATTCACAATATGTGTGAGGATGGACTGGAATATTGGGTCCTCTGGTTTGACTATTTAACGGGCTAGACTCACTAGTGCATTCAACCCAGCTGAGAAATATCTACTTATGGTTTCTGAGGAATGTTGAAACTGTTCCATAGCTCCTCTCATCGATTCATTCTAGGCCAAAATGTAGAGTGTTATTAGCAACACCTCTCGGATGTTGTTCTTCATGATCCTTGCAGTCTGTGGAGGGTCTGAAGTTCATTTAGGAGGTCAAGAAAAATTACTTTTGTCATACAAAACATATTTGCAAAACGTGTCAGGTGACTACGTAATAACTCTCCGATCTATCTATCTCCAATATTACTAGACTTCATGCATGGGTTTCAATCACCATATGCATTGTAGTAATGATATATCAATGTAAGGGTGAGAGCAATAATACAGAATGCGGATTTGATTAATTTATCCTTCCTCCATAATATAAAATCTAGAAGAAAGGTAGACTTTTAAACCAGATAAAAAATAGTGATGTAATATCAGTAAACATGGAGAAAATGACAACTATACAAAGAGTGCATGCATGTAAATTTACCTGCATGCAATAAAAATATAGAGAAAGTTACATACATGTCACACATTTCATTAATATTTGCATATCTAAACATCAAAGTTCGATATGTAGCTAACACATTCAAGCTTGAAAAAAGATACAATACATATAACGAGTCCAGCACATAAATAGCACATAAGAAATAATGAGTCCATTAAACAAATAGTCAATGAAGTTACATAAATAGCATTGCATTTTTCATAAAAGAGCCCAAGTAGGAAAGACGAAATTCTGGGTCCAAAGTCTCAAAGAATTGCTTCC